TTTGGTCATGATCATAGCACATTACTGTTTTTATTACTTGTTGAGCACATACATGATAGAATTGGTATGCTGTTTTATTTAAGAGTTCATATGCCACAGTTACTTCTCAGCTTGCCAGATGTAAAACTATAGATGTAAAAATTAACGGCAGAGTAGAACCTCTGATTGCATCCCCGAATTCCCATGACTGCAGAAAAATCACAAGTAGGATAGGTATTCAGAGGTTACCTAAAAATAAGACTGACTTCTGTTTCTCACTGCACTGATTTCTCAGACTTCACAACAGCCCTTAAAAACTTGCACCAAGATGAGCACATGGGCACAAACAGGAGAGACAGAACTGGAAATAAGCTGCTTATTACAGGAGAACTTGTTTATCACCAACCTTTCATCTTTCCAGCTCTAATCCCCAGAAACACTCACTAGTTTTGAGAGATAGATGTGAAATACCAGAGGGATGCAAGCTTTTCCAGAAATAAATGTAAGAGCAGCTTCCAACAGAAACAGGCTTATAAACACTCAGCACCTGTGAAAGCCACAGTCTGTATCTCCCTGATTAGGCACACAAAATAGGCATCTTGAAGGCCTGAGCCTGTACCTTCATTTTATTTAATTATTTCCTGCAATCAATACATTGAAGGGAAAAGTAAGCATTTGGAAGACTTTTCTGCATTTCTTTGAAGAAGAAATGCAAGCTACGTTACTTACAGTGCAAAAATGCTTCACTCATCATGTCTCACGACCATTACTTTAACATCCACAGGGAAAAGTCTGAGCTGGCACAGACAGTAACCAATACTATCAAGAGTCTTGCCCATGCATTTCTGCACTCAATCACACTCCTCCAGGATCAAACTCAGGTTTCTGACAATGCTTCTACTACAGCCAGCTAACAGGCACACTATGCATTTGGCCATTATTTTGGTTGGAAGTCAATTTCCATCTCAATTTCATGAATATTAATCTGCCTTATTAGTTCTTCTTAAAGGCTCATTTTCTCGTGTCTGTAGAGTTACCTTTCACCAAACACATTTCAGCCTCTAGAACTGCAATGGAGAACCTTGCCAGGAATTAGCCAAGAAAAGAGGCTAGCTCAGTGTAGGTGGTTGGCCTTAGGACAGAACTTGTCAGCTGAAAAACAATGAAACAAATGTGGGCCAACTAAGGAGCAAATAATTGTCGGTTGGCAGACAGCATTAAGCTCTCTCTTAAGCTAACATCCACGTGATCAACTCCTTTTATCTAATTCATTATTTATAAGTCATTCATCCAGTCTCCTCAAGCATTTAGTACATATTTAATTTTCACAGCACCTGTTCATCAGAGACATAAACACCACCATTTGCCAAAGGAGGTTGTGAACGCGCCATCCCTGGAGGCATTCAAGGTCAGGCTGGATGTGGCTCTGGGCAGCCTGGTCTGGTGGTTGGCGACCCTGCACATAGCAGGGGGGTTAGAACTAGATGATCATTGTGGCTCTTTTCAATCCAGGCCATTCTATGGTACTCATTCTATTCTACGATTCTATTCAGTCCAGGGTAGGGTTACATGACGATCCCTTCCCAAAAATTTAGTAAGCATCAATGGCAAAGTCTTGAACTGACGAGCTCATTTTCATCCCATTTTTCTCTCTAATCTTTAACATTTTGTTCAACGCTCTGATCACAAGTTGAAGTGCTGAAAAACACATGCATATTTCTACCTCAAGGCAGATCTGGCAGGACTCAGAGGGGAAGACTATATTTGTTGGAGATTTGAATCTCTTTAAGAAATGAATCACTTAAATCATGCCCCTCGCAGAATTAATATTCAAGGTCATCAACTGAGTTCATAAGTTCAATTAACACCAAAGGAAGCTGAACAGCAAAATAGTCTCATTTAGCTGTCTGAAAATATGCCCAATAGATCTCTATTAAAGTAATTAAAGAATGACATTCCAGACGGAATGCCCAATCATTGCACTTCCTTGGAGAAAAAGCATCCCAGGTGCTCCCAAACACAGCAGATTACCTACTGTCTAAACTGCTGGTGCTGGAAACAGCTCTGATACAAATGTTACAGCTGAGCCAGCTACCTACCTGCACTTCAGGAAACAATATTGCACAGCCTGCCCTACGTACCTTTTATATCTTAAGGAAAAAAAAAAGGGGGCGGGAGGGGGATGCGTGGAAAGAGTAACAGTTTATACCCTCTCCTCCTTATGAGCAGAAATCATTGCTGAGTTGCAACAGAAAAACAAGGATTTAAGTAACAAAAGCACTAACACCAGCAGAAGCCAAATACTGTGTTGTAAAGAAAGAGAAACAACACTGACTCGGGCACTTGCTAGATTTGCTGGAACTGAGCCAGTATCTACCTCAACTGGGCATGACAGCTGACGAATCTCTATCCCACATTCTCCTACAGTATAGATACACTCTAAATTGTGAACTTGCCAAAATATAACAGAGGGAAGTACTGATGTATTTTTCTTGTATTCAGTATATTCTAGTGACTCAAAAATCTCCTACTAAACAAGCTTAAATATTCCCTCTGCACAGAGGGTACTCAAAATACTCATTTATCTGTTGTTCTTGGAATAGAACTCAAAAAATATATATTTTTCTCCTGAACTACTTTCCAATCTGCCCTTAGCACTGTTGCAACTGTAGTATGTTGCAACTAAGGATTTCAGATCCAAATTACGGACTAGGGCCACTTGGAGTGAAAATGCATGCCATTTTCCCCACCAACTCTAATACTGCAGAATATTCCAGACTACATCCCAGCCTCCTTGCTTCTACATCCACTAGTGCTATAGTAGAAAGGGTGAACAGAAGATTCAAAGTGGATAAGCAGCCAAAGGCTGATATGTGTTAAAGCAGATGATGCAATCCACTGCTGTTCAAGATGAAAAAAAGTTAAGGAGTACAGTCAGGATCTCTCCATGATGCATCAGTCTTAGCTGTATTTCTGGTCATTGCCTCATTTTCAAGGCTATCTTTTTACAGTGTTAGGAATCAACTTGTCACAATGCTGTTCTTTAACAATTAACTAGCAAAAATGAGCTTTTATCGTAGTTTCATGGGTACATCACAAAGGAAACTCCAGCCCAAGATGATCAGCTGGAGTCTAATAGAAACTTGTTAGCAGAGAATAGAAGAGTAAGATCAGAGTGCTGGTGAAATTAGTACTTCTCAGGGATGGTCTCAGGTTGTGCAGCAGTGCCATATTGAAGGTCCTGTTACCAAAGCTGTTATTCCAATTCTCTAATGTACCTTTCATTTCTTAAAAAATGATACACAGCAACAAAAAACCCACACACTGCCTCCACATTGACACTTGTCAAGATAGTAGCTTTATTAAAAAAACAAAAAGCAACAAAGATTCTACCGCAAAACTAAACAAATACAACAACAAAAACATTGAAAGAAGAAAATAGGCATACCTGTAAAGAACCATTAGTCCAGTGAAAAATGAGCTAACAGCCAGCTAAATCATACGGAATGAAAACAGTACTTAAAATCAAGAGACCATACCCTTTATAAAAGACAGAGACTGTCAAATTGGAAAAAAGCTAAATTTTCTCCAACCACACTGCACAGTAAACAATCTAATGGATCTCCTGGGAATTATTCATCTAACTGTGTTGGACGTGCATGTATCCGGATTTAGTTGTGTCAGATCTGTGCTATATCCATTCCTTATTGACAGGACGCCACTTACGGACACTTATAGGCTGCACCTGACAGGCATCCAAGAGTAGCAAAAATACTGCCCTTATTCCTTCCCTGTTTGGTGACTGGTCTAGAAAAATGAGCTCTCCAATTCCATAATTTCCTTGTGCAAAGCTATACCAACATGAGTGGAGAGAAATTAAGCAATAAAAATACTCCCAGGAGAGTATTATCACTGTGGTTTGAGAAAAAAAAGGTCATCTTTGTCTGCAGTTACTAGTGGTTGCTGTCCAGAAAGATATCCAGGACAGGATAACTTCATAGCAGCACTTCTACATACTCTCTTATAAGCTCAATTATGTATTGCCAAATACTTCTGAATAAGAAAGGATACTTCTGCATTATCAAAGGTTTCAACTGACTTCTTCCACGCATCTGTTGAGAGGCTCTTTGAACTAATGCTAACTTTTTAAGCTTTCATAATGTTTCCTAATAAGGAAACATTTCACATCTTAATTATAAGCTACATCACGTAGTATGTACCCTAAGGTTTTCAACATTCTCATCTGATGCTTCTTAGTGGTTCTGTCGGAAGGGACAGCTGTGGATGTTTTATCCTTGGAGGTGTTCAGGGTCAGGCTGGATGGAGTCCTGGGCAGCCTCGTCTAATGGGTGGTAAACCTGCCTATGACGAGGTGGTTGGAACTGGATGATCTTTAAGGTCCCTTCCAATCCAAGTCATTCTATGGTAGCAAATAATTTTGCCTGTTTACTTCCTTCACAGCATTGATTTCTAAAAGGAGATCTTAAACAGCACCTCCATTGTGAGGTGTGGCCAAGTGAAGATAAGAAAAAAGGATGAGACTTACTCAAGATAATTCAGCAGGCTAGAGGAAGCAGGCATAGGAACTGTTTTATTTAAGTTCCTAGACAGTGTCCTAGCTATACTATTATATTTCTAGAATATTTATTTTTCAATAAAGAGGAACAGATCTAGATTTAAAAGAAAATATAGACACAAAGAGAATTGAGAAGCATCACCATACTGAAAGCAAACTGTATCAGACCATAAGACAGCCCTATTTTCTAAGTGAAAAGACACAGCTATACATACTTCTTCCCATTATTACAATTTTTCTTATATTTTATTCATGTATGAAGGCCAAGGGTGTATCAACAAATTACTCATTAGGGTTAACTTAGAGATGCATGTATATATGAACTAATGAAAACACAGATTCAGCCTCTTCCTATCTACCTCACTTTTTGTTGTTGTTGTTGAATTTTTCCTTTAATTTAACAAATGCTCACAGTTCTACCGATGTCAACATTGCATATTCTTACCTTAGCTGATAAGGAGGTATCTTGATAGCAGCGTCAGGAGAATCCAAGGTTTCTGTATAACAAAAGAAAACAGTAAGATAAAATAAACTGAGTTCCACATTAGTAGTAGAATCTCTGAAGCAGTGATCCCCAAAGCTTACACCTACTCCAGCTGACAGACTATCTGTCACAAGTGCTCCAATTCTCCATAGATTGACATGGCCCTAACAGCACACTGGGTATCAATGAGAAGGCACCAACAACTCTGTGATTCTCCAATTCTGTGAAATAATAGCCTTTCCTCAGTAAATTCCCTCTTACATGCAAGCATTTCAGCATCACAAAACTGGAACAGTACAGAGGATATCAGCATGGCTGCTGCACAAGCACAGCATCAATTCATGAATCACACAGAATACCAAAGTGAAAGGCCAGTAATGAGACAGCAACAGGTATGGACTCTGCTGTAACAGTGTACCGTTAAAAATAAAGATTGCCATCTCTCAAAACCTGAAGCAAAGCTAGGTGCACAGTAATCTTGATATATCCTGTTTCGGGTCACACTGACCAGAGCTCCAAGCAGTTACTGCCAAAAGAACCTCAAATCACAATCCACAATTTACCTAACCTCATATTCACATAAAAAAACACATTTTAGCAACTACGCATTGCATTATACAGCAAGGATCACAGAGCTCACGGAATCCAGAAAAAATACATATATAATAATAATAATCCAGCTTTGGAAATAGAAACCCGAATCTAAGTTAGCAGAAAAAACTGCCCTAGAGTGTCCGTTTACCGTGATTTATGAAATGGGGAGGAGGGAAGCGGTTGAGATAACACAGCCCCACACAGAAGGGATCTGGTTGCCACTGACACCTGTATTTGCCTCGGAAGACCCTCGAAGCCAACACCGAGAGCGGGGCGGAGGGGCACATAGCTGTTCCTCGGATGGCTGAACCGGTACCACAGCACCGAGCCGCCCGGATCCTCGAGCCGCTGGAGGCGCTCCGGTCCCGCCGGTGGCAGAGCAAGTTTTGCCGAGGTCTCGCTGCCGTCGGCGGCACAGAACCCTCCCCTCACCTCCGCTGCGCCCACCTGAGCCCCCAGCACCCTCCGCCCTTACCGATGGCCCAGGTGCAGCTCTCCTTGATGGCCCTGTGCTTGCTCCCCGACGCCTCCTTCTGCAGCTTCCGTAGGATTTCTTCCATCTTGCCTTCCCGTAGCGTCGCCGCGGGGGCACAGGTGCAGGCAGTGATAGAGGAGACGGAAAAGCAGCGCGATGCGGCACTGGAGCTGTCCCCAAATCGGCCGTGCCTATGCGGGGACGGTGCGCGGCACCCTGCAGCCTGCCTGCCGTCGCTGATGAATCACGCCGAGCTCCATGGCGGGGACACGTCAGTTGTTGCCGCGGCGGAGTCCCTCCTCCTCCTCCTCCCACCCCGGGCAGCCTCCTGTGGCGCAGCCGGGCTGGGGCCGCGCCTGGCCCCGCCCGCCGCAGTCAGAGCCCGGCGGCTGCGGCCTCGCTGCTCGCGGTGAAGCGGGGTGTTCCTCCGGCACCGCGGGGGGAGAGGTAGCGGCAGCTGCCCACGGGTGGGCAGCGCAACGGGGCCGGGGAGGCTGCAGCCCGGCCGGTCGCCATGACGACCGGCGGCCCCTGCCCGCAGGACGCAGGTGTGCCCGCAGCCTGCCTGCGGCTCCGCGTCGGCTTTGCAGAGCTGAAACGCGGGTCTTGCCGTCGGCCCTACTCCGGGAGGCAGCCGAGGGCGCGGAGCCACGGAGTGAGGCAGCCAGACCCGCCTGGCGGCGTGTGCTCAGGGCATATCGACCTCTGAAATGAAATAAATGGCCGCGTGCCCAGCAGGATCTGCACTGCTTTTCCCATCTGGGGTATGCTGAGGGGCAGGCAGCACGGTCTGCTTGCCTTCACCTGTGCCCTAAGTGTGCGCTTTCCTGTCCCCAGCCAGCCGACCAACCCTTGCACTGCTAGCTCAGATCTGCCTCCTTGTGCCCCTGAATGCTTTCTGCCCAGCGAAACACTTTTTCAGTCTCTTGTTCCCTGCCGTACCTCTAGGAAATGCAACTCGCCCCTTCTGTGACTACATCACGTTAATTGACTGTTTTATTGCCTTTGTCTTGTTGGAGAATAAACTCCCTCAAAAGGCGCAAGAGGACAAACAAGATAAGAAAAGAGACAGATCAGAGAGGCAGCCCGTGCAGCAGCTGGCTGTGTTAGTGGTTGTCTCCTACCACTAATTGGAAGAGTACCAATTGTAAATCAGCAGACAGAATATTGGCACGTGGTGAATCAGCCATAGCGTTTCCCATAGGGGACTGAGCTTTCAAAGGCTGTCCGTTATCCAAATTCTTACAAGGGCTGATCCTGCTTGTGTCAGGAAGTATAATGAATGAATAATCCGTAGTTGCATTTTAAATCCAGACTGTAAAACTTATGTCTGAAGAAAAGGATAAAAAACGATGCCAGCAAGGTCTGTAGGTGAACAGGGAACGTCTAGAATTAAAGCACCTAAGGATTAAAAAAACATGCTTTGATAGAAAAACAACTACATTTCAGATTCCAGGGTGCAAACTAGCCTTTAAGCAACTGGAAGTTGTTTTCCAGAGTTTCTTATCTCTGGCCATGCTCCACCACCTTCCTTGGAATGAGCAACCTGCAGTAGCTACTGGCAATAGCTAGTGACCAGAGCTGTTATGTACCATGGTGCTCTAAGTCTAGGATCTGGCTGAAGTGGGAATGAATTATTTCCTGCTTACATGTCTGTCTTCTTTATTCTGTGATGCACTTAGTGGAATAAGCATGGGAGTCAATTTCTACCTTTTCTACCTTTTTAGATCTTTTGGTTTTTTTTTCCTAGGGGGCAAAAAAAAAAAAAAAAAAAAAAAAAAAAAAAAAGGACTGTGGTAATGTTTGAGGTATTTTTAAATGTAGATAAGATATGCCAGAGATCACTGAGACCCATAGAACTCTAATAAATATGTATGTGTCCATTCATTGTAAATAACTAATTGCTTATTTTCAGGAAGCAGTTGATTAAGTTATTTTTGAATTCTAGAATCAAGACTTGCACTTAAAATCATAGAATCCTTAGAGTTGCAAGAGACATTTAAAGGTCATCTAGTCCAACTCCCCTGCAGTGAACAGGGACATAGACAGCAAAATTAGCTTGCCCAGGCTTGATCCAGCCTCACCTTGAAAGTCTCCAGAGACAGGGCCACATCTCTCAGCAATCTGTTCCAGTGCATTACCACCCTCACTGTAAAAGATTTTTTCCTTACATCTAACCTAAATCTACCCTCTTTAAGCTTGAAGTCATTTCCCCTTATTCTATCAATGCTGCTCCTAAGCACTTTTCTTCACAGTTGTCAAAAGAGTGAGAGGACTGAAGGTGCTGTTTAGAGCATCTTAAGATATGTCTATAAGAATTACGTAGATGGAAAAACAAGTAAGCCATGATGACTCTTCTCAAGCAAATTCATTTCAGAATACCATGAGTCTGTTTGTTGACACTGTTCATGTAAGGTTTGCCATCTCCATGAACAGCAGTTCATCAGTCCTTGTCTCTTATCTACAGTAAACGCATAAATACTGAGTAACCATGTCCTGCTAAAACTCTTTTACTGAATGCATTTTGTGCAGACAGGGTGTCACATTTATTTGCTTTGGGCTCCTCTCCAAGGAAGGTGGTCTGGAATGTCACAAGATATGTAAGTCTAGCTACAGAGTAGGGAGAATGGAAAAGTATGGTCACTCTTATAGCTCTAAGTCCTCCTTTGCCATGGCCAGCAACCTTCTGCAGTAGAAGCTACAGAGTTGTCTTTGACTCCTTGCACAGTTCTAGCGTTGTCCAGTTGGAAGCCAGAAGAATCTATGCAGATCTCATAACTGCAGGATGCTGTGGTTATATATTACTAACACTGATAGATATGCAAGACATTTCTGAGACTCATTTGGTGATGCTGCTGATCTACTGCAATATGTGAGTGCAGGTTATCATAGAATCATAGAATGGCCTGGGGTGAAAAGGACCACAATGATCACCTACTTTCAACCCCCCTGGGTCGCAGGGTCACCAATCAGTAGACCAGGCTGCCCAGAGCCGCATCCAGCCTGGACCTCTGCATGCCCTACATAGCACCCAGTGAGCCCAGGTGACTGGATCTCTATTAAAAGAATGGGATGCTGTTAAAATGCAGATGTCCTTTTATTAATGAAGAAAAAGCTTAGAAGCGTGTGAACAAAACCAACCTACTCAACATATTCAAAGCACTAAAATCATATTAGTACAACTCCATTAGACTTGTCAGCAGAATTATGGAACAGCGTATGCTTGTCTTGATGCTACTACAGTTCTGCTGCTTCCAGTAGCCAAGGAAGGATATGTAGTTTAAATCTCTATAGCATATGTCCATACTGTCCATGCATGCACCTGATTGATCACTGTAGTGTTTGAGATTCTAAAAATGAATAGAATACACAATTGAAAAGCAGGATGAAAGGTTTGTTAGACTGTGAAATGATCATATATTTAGTCATTATTATTCACATGCTACCTGTTCTTTAGCCTTTTTAACAATGTCAGGGTCAACAACATTGGTCAGGATCTCATTGCACTCTATAGACATCAGGCAGGTGGGCCAATGAGGGGGGCTGTGTCCCTTAAAAATCCTGTCTGATTAGAAAATATAAAGAAATGCCGTCCAATGACATGAAAAAACATCTAGTTCCATGGCTTTGAAAAGATGTAGACCCAAAGGTCTCAGAATTACTTTTCTAGAGTTCCTGCCTTACTCTCTTCCCCACTGATTGGAGCGATCAGAGTTGCAAAAATCCTTGGGCTCATTTTTCTTCTGGGAGCTCTCTGTACATGTTGCTTTACTTTTGCTGAACATATCGTTCAAAATAATCAGTAAAATTGGTGTAGCTGCAACATGGGCTAGCTAGCACTAGCTAGATACCAGACAGCTGACATCAGCTGAAGGTACCCTTCCTTACTTCTCCTGAAAGGCAGCAAGACCTTGAAAAACAAAGCAAGGATTTGCTTTTAGTTTTGCTTGTAGAGATTGTAACTATGTCACTGATGATGGGATGGCATCTATCATTTTTCGCTTGATTACACAGAGTTACTAGAGGCTGAATACTCAATCAAGTTGTTCCTGAGCAGGTGCTGCTTCCTGCACCCTCCACAACATGACCTTGCAGAGCAAAGGCAAAGCACTGTAAAGTGCAGTGACAAAGGGTGCTGCTGAGAGCAGGGACTGGGAGCTGTGAACAAAGCTAGCGTATATTCAGCAATGCCCGTTCAGTATAACCATACACTGTTTACTCTGTAAAGAACACGCAAAGCAAAATTAAAGTGAGACTCATATCAGGATAGAAATGTGAGACAAGACTCTGCCCCGGTTGATGTACTTTCTGCAAAGACAAATGAAAAGCAAAAATCCTCCTAACTGCCTTCAATCTACCATAATCTTCTCATCTCCCCACAGAATTACAAAGGCAATCAACAAGGTATCAGAAATGCAAAACAGCCATTCTAGGTCAGATCAATATCCTTACTAACCACAGACTTATTTGTGACAGATTTGTTGTGTATTCTTGGAGAGGATGGAAAGACTGTCCCTTCCTCCAGTAAACTCCCACAGTTTCTGTTCATTTGCAGACTAAGCAGTTTCTGAGATGGGGTTTTATCTTTATGTATTCAGCAGTACCTGGCAGATTTTTCTTTGTGAATGTGTCTAATCCTTTTGAACCTTTTGACCTTCACAGTCATTTTTTGGCAGCCAGTTCTGTAGATGAGTGGCACACAAATAAAAGAAATATTTTTGTACAGTTCTAGCTTTTTCCTTTTTTTTTCTGCTAATGCTGCCAAACTTTTGTACTATGAAAAATACTGCATTAGCATTCCCTATTCACTTTTTCCATGCCATTTATTATTCCTTATGCATTGATCATATACTTTCTCAGCTGTTTTCTTTCCAGTCCAGAGGAGACTATTGTTAATTATTTCATATATCATCTTTGGTAATATTAATTGCCCTTCTCTGTACCGTATCCTGTTCTGTTCAACCCTGAAAAAGCTTGGAGAAAAGAGTAAATACATGAGGAAAAGGTAGCATGGAGATTTGAACTAAAGCTCTTTCTTTGTCAGACTCTGCTGAAAAAGGGGAAGGAAACTAAAAGGCTTCAAGAGGAAAGGAAATTAGAAGCAACTGTAGAGTTAACCTTAATATCACAAAAGTTCCAAAAAAGTGGCCATAAAGATGCATTTCAGAGAATTTGCTGTGTCCCACTATTCTTGCTTTAATCCAGAGGTTCCCATAGTCTTAATCTATGGAAAGAGAAATAAAAATGGGAGTCAGTGATACTTATAGGTCCCTTCCAACTTGGGATATTCTATGCTTCTATTCTAGATGGTAA